GAACATGTTGATAGGAACATATCTTCTCTCAATGCTATTCCTAGATTATGTGAGTGAATTTATATGGTTTTATAGAGCTTGTAACATCTTATCACACTTTTCAGTTGAAATGACGTACATAACAAGGCTGACTCTAAGTCATAACAGGCTAACTTCAATTCCTCCGAATATCGCGGATCTTGAGAACCTGCAGGTTAGTCTCTAACTTGTTTAACTTTTTTGACTTGCTCTTCGTTTTTCATTGGACTTTTATACTCTTAAGAGGCGTAACCAGATAGGCTGTGTACAAATGATTATTGTTCAATATAGCATTATCATAAATCCTCCCTTCAGATAGATCCGTCTTAAGATATCCGATACAAATAATTCCGCTTTTCTCTGATTTGAGAAGTTTTTATACTTGTAATGGAACATTAAGGCGGACACTTACGCCTATCTTGATTGAAAAAGCGGCCTAATGTGCCCGCTTTTAGAGTGATTTTTTTGAACCTTACTGCCTCTTATTTCAGTCCAAGAAAATTCAAAATTATGTTCATTAAATATATGTCCACAATAATTAACCTTGTAAAATGATCACCTTGCAGGTGCTTACACTTTGGAACAATCAGATTGAAGAACTGCCTTCCTCGATCTCAAGCCTTTCGAAGCTGCGTATTCTCAATGTGGGGTTAGTGAGCTGATTCTTCAACATTCTTCAACCTTTATTTATCATTTTTCTCCTCAGATTGTACCAGGCTTGAAACAGTCATCCATAAAATATTTGTGACCAGTGTATACAGTATCACTGTTCCAGAATGAATCGCCTCTCCGTGCTACCGCGAGGATTTGGTTCGTTCAAATCGTTGGAAATTCTCGATTTAACTTACAACAACCTGAACGAAAGAAGTCTCCCAGGAAACTTTTTCTTTATTGGTCAGTGATATGCTTTAGATGCTGAGACATGCAGTTGAACTTTGCGGTTAACTCACTTATAAACATACTATATTCACTGGAGTCAATTGTTTACTTTTTTTCATTGAGCTAGTTCACTTGCACACATACGCATATATTCAAACATTTCAGATACTTTGCGAGCGCTATATCTTGGAGACAATGACTTTGAATTGCTTCCTGGAGATGTGATGAATTTGCGAAACTTGCAGGTGAGCTTTCATTCTACTTTGCTTTACATCCAGAACGCGCCTGTTTTTTCTTAATCATTCAGCTTTCAGATACTGGTTCTGCGCGACAACGATCTTTTGGCAATTCCTCGAGAAATCGGGCACCTCACTAACTTGAAAGAGCTACACGTCCAAGGTTCGTTGAACAGACTTGTAGCGTGACTTTATAACTTATTTCCTTTAGGAAATCGCCTCACTATTTTGCCACCTGAATTGGGACAGTTGGATCTGATTGGCAACAAACAGGTGTTGCGACTAGAACACAACCCATGGGTTCCAAATATTCAGGTATGTTGAATTTATTGCCTTTTATGTCTGCGATTTTTTGCAGTTCACTGCATACATTTTTTTCTTATGCACAGTTTGACATAAATTTCGTACTGGGATGCGGGTCAAAGCTTGATTTTTCTTTCGTACTATGCGCACCAAACACACCGAATTTTTGGTGCTTCTTGGCGTAAAGTTGAATTCTGTTTCTTTAGTTAGGCGCCCGACTTATCCGGTTAACCATTTCATCCTCTTCAGTCCCTTCGCTGTTGGTCAGTCACTGATCTGACCTCTAGCAAAGTGGCTAGAATGGTTGAAGCGAGTAAGTCTGGTGTTTGCCTTACCTCGCTGTCACTGCTTCACCATAACTACCAGACATACAATTTGACTCTGGAAAGCAAGAAGGCAATCAAGCAAATGCGAAAACAATGGCACCATTTTAGGAGCAGTTTGATGCAAGAGGCGCTCAAGGCGTCATGGATTTCATACGCAGCGACCAGTATAAGTACTTTTACGGACGACAGGTATAGTCCCAGCTTAACTTAGCATTTGCATCGCGTTGTCCTTCCAGGAGGTCACCACTGGACCAGTGCCTCCGAAACGAAATAAGGATAAGAAGCTGTCCAGAAGAACACATCAGTCGCAGTGTGGTTCGTAGGGAGGCGAGCGCGTGATTGTGGTTGGTCAACTTGCGAAACAATATCGTTTCCGCTACTTGCCCGCGCGTGGTTAGTTTTGGTCAACATTATTTTGCTGCTTATATTTGACTTGACACGTTTTGCGCACACTTTTGAAGAGATTGACAGTTCTTCATAAGATATTCAAGGCTTTACCCAAGGAGTTTTGCATGACCTGTTTCCTTCTCACAATCAGTCTCGTTCAAGCGCATCAATTGGTAGAGATGCCTGAAAATTTTGAATTCTACGCCTAATTATCAGTACCTTGCTAACATTCATGATTAGTCCAGAGATACCAAAAAGAGACCTGAATAAATTACCGAATCACTCCATGACTAGCTGTGTTCAGCATTGCTTAGATGCTGTACACAGCTAGTGCCGAGTTCGAAAACGATGTGTGGTCGCACATTGGGAAGATCCGTTTGACTAAATACAGCCGCGCGCGGGCACTACCATAGTCACGCGCTGCAAGTGTAAGTGCATGTATTTCTTATGTGTAATGGTGCTTAGCATTTATGATTTGCCTTATATTGTAAAATTACTGCCAAGTTGCATGAAACTAAGTCAATAAACTTATGGTATTATTGTTACGGCTTCGATCCCAGACAAAGCTACAATGCTCCTCTTCTCAGCACAGGTGTGTCATATCCTGTGTACCGAAAGGTTTATTGCATTTATGAAAAAGAAGAGCAAGTTCGACAGACCATGTTGGTTGAAATGCAGTTGACACGGAGTTTGTAAATTTCGGATGCACGATACACTTTCGAATGCTTTTGAGGAAAACACATCGCCAACAGTGTGACAGGCATGTGAAACGGTGGTGGTGGTAGCTATTGGTAGAACACTGGGAGACCTTACTTGACTCAACTGGTAATCCTGCCATTTCAGAGTATTGAAAAGTTATAATGTTCCTCTGGATGGAGTGTTCTTCAGAAAGACATATAATTCTGCAGTTGTACGACGTCAATAAGAGCGCCATCAACATCTGGGCGCAGAAATGGTCCGAATGCAAAAGGAAATCCTCCTATCCACATTTGCTGCTGCCCTGCGGGTGGAGCACCATATGGGGTGGAGGACATGAGGTCCGCGAGAGTGGGAGGTCCCGCCGGACATGTGCAATAAATACACATTCCATTACATGCATAGGCTGAGTA